GAACCTATAGATACTTTCTCGCCTGAAAGGATTGGATAAAAGATCTAGATGCCCTGTGTGTCTTGCAGAGTCCCTTTGTAGGTAAATATGGTTGAGTAGGAGAGATGTTACTTTGTCAGGCCAGATACCTCCGGCTTGAAATTTGATTCCATCCCATCTCTGTTGGCAGTTTTATCCTCCATCGTTGTTCCTGTCCTCCCCGGAAGTCCATCCGCGATACCGCAATAGCTTATCTGTCTTCGTTACTCCTCTCCCTCGGGAGCCCGAGGAACACTGTTAAACACTGCTACGTGACAACCCCTTCAACGAACCCAATGGCTTGAAACAATGACCAGTTATTTTTCTTGCGGTCTGCGGGTGGGCTGGGTGATTCGATGGGGCCAAACTCCACTGATCTTGGCTGGCTCATTCAGAAATCTGTGCTTGTCTGGGCCTAGGTGATCTGGGCTGCCCTCAGCTGAGCTGACCCAGCTCCATTCCATGTGGTCTCTCACCTTCCAGCATTCTAGCCTAGGCTTCTTGTCATGGCAGAGGCAGAGGTCCAGAAAACAAACAAACACCACCCCCCCGCCAACCAGCAGAGTGTACGCCACCTCTTGGGGTCTAGACTCGAAGCTGCATGCTAGTCCCTTCTGCGGTGTGTCACAGGCCAGTCCAGATTCACTGCGTGGAGAAATGGACTCTGCCTCTTAATGAGGGAGACCCGGGAAGTCCCATTGAACGTGCGCTAGACCCAGGGAGGCGTAGAGAATACGGCCATTTTTGCAGTCAGCCCGTTGCATAGATCAGGGATCAGCAAACGTTTTCTGTCAGTGGTCAAAACAGTAAACGTTTCAGGCTTTGTGGGCCACATAGTCTTTGTTATGACTCCTCAGCCCTGATCTTGTTACGGGGAAGCTGCCATAGACAGTATGTAAATGCCTGGGCATGGCTCGCCTTCCATTGAAACTTTATTTACAAAGCCAGCAGGTGCTGATCCGGCCCACGGAGGGCTCTCAGATCCAGGTTCTCGGATGTTGGCCTTCCTGAAACCAAGGCCTTGAGGCCATAAGCATGGGTGGCATCTGTCAGAAGTGCTCGTATTGGCGAGAAAAAATAAAAACAGATAAGAGGAGATAAGTGACTCCCTGCTAAGTATCCATTTGGGGTTGTTCCTTGTACAGTAACGGACGTACATAGGTTGAGTTTATTTCTCAGTTAGCGAGTCCTCGGAGTTCACTTTGTCGCTCCCCTGTTTGGCTGGATTCTCATTCCTTAGCCATCCGCCTCTCCCAGATGGAGTGCAGATAGAATTCTAACCTGTATGTCTCCTTCTGACACTTCTCCTGGACCCTTCTGTCTCACTTAATCCCAGAGTCAGAAGTGACCTCAGCACCTCCTTCTGGGCTCCCAGTGAGCCCCCGATTAGGTCTACAAGTTAGATCTTGTTTATTTTCCTACCAGTTACGTGTCTGAGTATCACAACCGTGGCGCGCTCCATCAAAATTTAAAGATGTTAACTGTCCTCGAGAGTGGCTTTTTGGTTCAACCATCATTGCCTGGAGTTGTTGCCTGACTAGAGATTCTGGTTAAATTTCAGGTAACGTGAACTCCCTTTTCATAGAATGTCCAAGTCTCTGCTGTTCTTCTAGGCTGGTTTTTCCTCACGAGGGCTCTCCATTGTGGGTCAACAGTCGGCTGCCTTATTTTTCCCATCAGAGATTTTCTGTGCCACATATAACACAAAGCTATTACCACCTTGTTTTTTGTGGAAATGAGAACGAAGTCTTTGCTTTCTAATTTTACTCCTTCCCTTTTATTAGTGGTTGCTACTGACTTATGCAACATGACTCTTCCCTGGGTACTCATCAACGGGTATACTTTTCAGCTTGGCATGGCTCAGGCCTCAGACTTTTAAAGTTTTAAAGCAGCCGAGTTGCACAGACCGTCAATAAATCACTCACTATCGCCACTTTATTGCTTGTAAGGTGATTACCCCGCTTTGCCCATAGCGACTTTTCAATTTGATTAAAATGCAGTTTCATCAGGTCGTGGTTGAGTCCTCCGTATGTAAAAATACATAAAGCAACGAGAGTACCCATGCTCCAATATTTTTATAACTGCCCTTCACCTCTTTAACCATTGACTCCAGCATTTCTGTGGTCCTCGGCCTATAATTCACATTTCCATGCTCTTTGCCAAAGTAATTTTTATTTAGTGCTTATTCCAACCTCTTGTCTTTGTGAGACTGTAGTACTTTTTTCCCCTGCTAACTGGTGGGGGAGCGTTGGTCCCGCTGCAGAGCATTTTCTGCATCTCAGATTAGCTCCTGTGTGATGTGTAAATCAGGCTCTGATGGTGGTATAACGTGGAAGGTGTCTTGGTTTATTCGGGGTTGTTTTCCAGACCCAGGGAGCCAGGAGAGTGGGAGTAGAATTGTTATCTTAGGCAGGAAAAGGAGAAACCCTCAGCTTGGCTACTGTCCTGGCAGCAGGAGCCCTTTTGACTGTATTTTAAGAAAAATGAAAAGTGAGCGCCTGTAACCCCGGTTTCCTTGCCCAGGGCGGTGTGCTGCCAGCCGGGCGTGGCTCTTGGCTTGTCTTGGTCTGTTTGCGCTGCTGTGATCAAATCCCACAGACTGGGGGGCTTCTACACACGAGACATTCATTCCTCACGCTTCTGGAGGCTGGAAGTCTGACATCGGAGTGGGGGGGCGGTGCTGGCAAGGTTGGGTAAGGGCCCTCTTCTCCGCCAGAGACTTCTCGTTGTGTCCTCACATGATGGAAGGGGTGAGGGAGTACTCTGGGGTCTCTTTTATAAGGTTTTGTCTTTCCGACCTAGTCACCTCCCAAAGGCCCCACCTCCTAACACCGTCACACTGCGGGATGGGGTTTCGGCATACGAATTTCTGGGGCGCACACACCAGACCAGAACATGCGGCACATGGCAGGTTGTCCATCTCCAGGGGGTCCCCCGCCTCTGCCCCGCACCCCCTAAACAGGGCCGCTGCCCTCGCGGATTGCCTTGGCTTCCACAGCGAGATAATGTCGGGTCAGCATTTCACTCCGCTCTTGCTGTGTGGTTTGAATACCCGCGTGCTTCGTACTTCATCTCACAGGAGAACGGATTATGGGTTTAGGTGCAGGGACTGGATTGGGACTGGTATGCTCTGACCCCCTTTGCCCCTCCAGCCCTCTCGTTTTGACGCCTTGCTCTTCGCAGAACTTGAGGTTTTTCAGAGATGCGTGTGGTTGAACCTCATACTTCACGGTTGTGCATTGGCCTCCCCACTAAAATGTACTCTTAAGCCCCAAATTGGGGCTTTGGGGGACTCTCCTGGTTACTCACAGACGTGTGCGCGCAGAGTCGCATGAAGTTCGAGTCACCCGAACAGCACACTCCTGGCCCCGCCATCTTGCTTCATTCAGCTCTGACTATGAACAAGTGTCCTTTGTACAGACTGTTTAATGCCATGTTTTTCACATTTTTGTGCCTTCTTTTTTTTTTGGTAATTCGCTGTTTGTCATGGGCCTGAAATGCAGGGCTGGAGGGTCTCTGGTGTCTCCAGGTGCGAGAAGGCAGCGGTGCGCCTAGTAGAGAGAAGCCGTTGGGCAGATAAGCTTCGTTCAGGTATGAATTGTAGTGAGGCAGTTGGGATTTCAGTGTGTTTTTTTTTTTTTTTTTAATTTTTTTTTTAAAGATTTTATTTATTTATTTGACAGACAGAGATCACAAGTAGACAGAGAGGCAGGCAGAGAGAGAGAGAGAGGGAAGCAGGCTCCCTGCTGAGCAGAGAGCCCGATGCGGGACTCGATCCCAGGACCCTGAGATCATGACCTGAGCCGAAGGCAGCGGCTTAACCCACTGAGCCACCCAGGCGCCCCAGGGATTTCAGTGTGTTAACGAATCAGTGGTATATGTTCAAGAAGATGTCTTTTTTTTAAAAAAAAGATTTCATTTATTTGACAGAGAGAGAGAGAGATCACAAGTAGGCAGAGAGGCAGGCAGAGAGAGGGGGGAGCAGGCTCCCCGCTGAGCAGAGAGCCCGATGTGGGGCTTGATCCCAGGACCCTGAGACTATGACCTGAGCCGAAGGCAGAGGCTTCACCTACTGATCCACCGGGGTGCCCCTCAAGAAGATGTCTTAAAACAGAAACACAGAAAGCGGGGTTGTGTATTGACTGGTTTACAAAAACATGACCAGAGGCTTGTAGGAACCCAGTCCTACATAGCTCTTAGGGACATCGCTTTGGTGGTCGCTAACTTGTTCGTGGTGATTTATAGAATGTAACGGGTGCAGATAACAAAACTCAACTGAGCTACAGACCGAAGGTTGGTGTCTCCCCCAAATTCATGTGTTGGAACCCAACCCTCAATGGGATGGTGTTAGGAGGTGCGGCCCTTGGGCCGTGGTCAGGCCGGGAGAGCTGAGCCCCCACCGGTGGGATCGGTGTCCTTATAAAAGAGAGCCCGGAGAGCTCCACGGTTGTTTCCGACACATGAAGACACAGCAAGAAGATGGCTGCCTGTGGGGGTGCCTGGGTGGCTCAGTGGGTTAAACCTCTGCCTTCGGCTCGGGTCATGATCCCGGGGTCCTGGGATAGAGCCCCACATCGGGCTCTCTGCTCAGCAGGGAGCCTGCTTCCTCCTCTCTCTCTGTCTGCCTCTCTGCCTACTTGTGATCTCTGCCTGTCAAATAAATAAATAAAAATCTTAAAATAAAAAGATGGCTGCCTATGAACCAGGATGAGGGTCTTCACCGGACACCGACCCTGCAGTGCCTTGATCTTGGACTACTAGCCTCCAAGACTGCGAGGGAGACATTTCTGTTCCTAAGCCGCCCCGTCGGCGCTCTTACAGCAGCCTGCAGGGGCTAAGACGGAGCGTATCTGTATTTCGTGGCAGCAGAGATGCCCGTGCGGAAGCGATTCCGGTGTAAGAAATTGCTATGTGCGGCTTGCTCTGCCGTGTCTCTGCGGTTGTCCTGAGTGACGGTTTTCATCCCAGGCTTTCTCTCCCAGGTGTAACTAGCATGGTCAATGCCGGAGCGATGAGCGGCTCTGGAAACCTGATGGATTTCCTCGACGAGCCTTTCCCTGATGTGGGGACGTACGAGGACTTCCACACCATCGACTGGCTGCGGGAGAAGTCCCGGGACACCGACAGACACAGAAAGGTGGGTGGCATTCACGAAGACGTGTCGGAGGTGCTCCCTCCGGGGGCGGTCGCCGAGGCAGGGTTAGCTCACCTGTCACATGCTGGGCGAGAGTCCGAGGAATAGAAGAGAAGGGCTAGCGAGGCAGGCGGAGACGTGGACACGCGATCACGAGGCGGCCCGCTTGGGGCGGGAGGCCGTGTCCTACAGAGGTGCGGTGTGGAGGGCGATGAGGGGACTCCGGAAGCTGACAAATCAAGTACATCCCGCCCTCAACGCCTTGAGGCTGGGTGAGCTCTGGGGTGCTGTTTCTAGACCCTGGTTTCCGCTCTGCAAGGCTGGAGGTCGTTCTGTCTGCGGATCGAGGGAGCTGCGTTGCATGAAAGCACAGACCGCAGGGCCTGGCAGCTCGTGGGCCATCAGTCTCTATTTTCGTGGCCACCATAAGGCTGGGTGTAAGTGCTGTGGGATCATTCAGGCGGGACGGTTAGCGAAGGGTTTTTTAGAGATGGTGACATTTCTGTCGGGCCTTGGAGGTGGACTAGGAGTTTACTACGCGGAGAAAGGAGAAAAGATTCTAAAATCAGGAGGGGCCCTTTTTTAAGTCACAGAGGCCTGAGAGAACATGGCCCAGTAGACGGTTCAGAAGCTCTGTGGCTTGGGGGAGGGCCCCCCAGGAGGGGAGGACGTGGGCAGGGGACCGCGCCAGGAACGAGCAAGGAGGCATGAAGACGTGTTTGGGTTTCATCTTCACCGTCACAGAGTAGAAGAAAGGCATATGGCAGAGGGACAGACAGGAAGCTTGGAAGTAAGTTCAGGAGAAAGAGGAAGAAGGTCTGACCAAAGGCAGCGAAGCGCACGTGAGAGAGGCTCAGGATCAAGAGTTACTCAGGGAAGCCCCTGACCGGATTTGGGGGGTCGTTTATTGGGGATGGCCAGGGAGCAGAGTCCCGGATGAGGCTCCGGCCAGCGTTAGAAAGGGGGTGATGCTCTCGTTGGCAAGAAGGGAGGAGAGGGGAGCAACAGATGTGAGGGGGAGGCCGGTGAGTTTTGTGTCAGCCACCATGAGTTTGAGCTGTTTTCCCAGCCTGCAGCTGGGGGGTGGGGGTTGGCAGGCAGCAAGAACTCTGAAGTTCAAGGGTGAGGTCAGGGCTGCGGTGCGGGGGGGGGGGGGGGGGGGGGCGGTGATGGGGGGCCGGGGCCGGGCGGGGGGGGGGGGGGGGGCGGGGGGGGGGGGGGGGGGGGCGGGGGGGGGGGGGGACCCGGCCTGTGAGTGGGGCTGAAGCTGTAGAAGTGGCCGAGGTGGCCTGGGTGGGTGGAGGGAGAGGTAAGGAGGTGGTCAGCGTTCTGGGCCCTGCCGAGATTGAGCGGGTGCTGAGGGAGGTGGGGGGCGCCTGGGACAGACACCTGGGAGAGGCAGGGAGAGGTGAGGGAGGGGCCCCAGAGAAGTGGTGGCGAGCAAGTGAGGTGGAGTCCAGAAAACTCTCCAGCCTCTGGGCTCTGGTGTGCAGACCGTGGGCGAGGGGACTGCCCGGAGCAGCGGTTGCTGGACTCTGGCCCTTGGGCCCGGGCCAGCCGGGCACCTGCTCCGGTCAGGACAGTTTCCTTGGAACACGGCCGTGCCCACTTGCTGGCCCACTCCTCCCGGCTCCGTCTGGGCCGCCACAGCAGAGCTGAGTGCTCGTGACAGAGGCCGGCTGACCCGCAGAGCCCAACATCTTTCCAGAAAAATGTTCTAAGGAGTTGTGAGAGGAACGGCGCCTCAGAGCAAGGGTGGGAGGGAGAGGGGTGTCCCCACAGTGTGCTCGGACACGTCCGCCCGCCTGGCGAAGGTGACCCATGCCAGCCGATGCACGGTTCCAGCTGTTAACATCTGACCTTGAAGACAAAAGAAGGCTTCATGAGCAGACCATCTGGGAGGGTGAAAGTGGTCATTCTGATTTAAAACTGTGACAAGGAATCGCTGTCTCCCTTCAGAGTGGCCTCTGAATCATCGGGGTTCAAATCACACTTAGGAAGTTTTGTAATCAAGTGAATTTGGCGGGGGGGCGCTTCCAAGTCTTCGGCGGCTGTGATCGCATCTCTCCAACTTGGCCTGAACCCGAAAGCCCATTTTGTCACTGCGCCAGGTAGCGGGGAAGGGGGACCAAAGTGGCAATTTAGTTGCTTAATTACATTCATTTTCTCACTTGCCTTGTTTCCTGGAGGAAACCGTTTCAGGGAAGGAAGCGTGAATGGGAAAACGTATCCGGAGTCCGCTACCGTGTCTCTCTGTTTCTAGATAACCAGCAAAAGCAAGGAGTCCATATGGGAGTTCATCAAGAGTCTGCTGGACGCCTGGTCCGGCTGGGTGGTGATGCTGCTCATTGGCCTGCTGGCAGGTACGTGGCGGGGGGTGGGGCGTGGGGACCCCCCCGCCCCCCGCCCCGGGCCGGGGCTCCAGGGGCGGGGCCCCAGAGGCCCAACTGTCCCGGTTCGAGCTGGTGTTCTAGAAAGGGACCGATTCTCTTTTACCGTGTGCAAGGGATCTATTACTTGAAATACTTGGGAGCAGAACCCATGACCACACCTTTAACATTAAACGTATCCTCAATAAGGCAAGACTCCAGGGCATGGAGCCCAAATGCAGTCACTTTTGTACTTGGTGAGCCGGTTGGCCATGTCCACACAGGCCCTGGAGTGAGCTGTGCACACCCTGGGGAACTCAGAGCACGTTCGAGACATGCCCAGGGTCGGAGGGAGGCCCACGGCAAATACTTCCGGCCCGTGCATTGATCTGACCCTTGGGGATGCTGTACCCTTAGTTTTTATAACCCCAGCACCAGGCTTGCGAGCAGTTGATGCTTCCAGAGCGAATGGAGGCGTATCTGGAGGGGAAACCTGCCCTTTTACTATCAAACGCACCAGCTCTCCATGGAAACTCTTTCCGGAGATGTACTTCATTTTAGGAGGCTCTGAAGGTTAATGTCTAAGAATAAAAAAAACCGAGCATGCTAAAGGCGAGTCCCTTAATAAAAATCACTTACCTGTGATAACATAATAGTGACAGTTACGGGATTGATCAGCGAGTGACTGTCATAAAGGCAGAATATAGTAGATGCTCTAAGAAAGACTGAATGCTAACAGGGCACAGACACAAACTGTGATGACCGAGGAGTCCGATCTCTGGGCATTCTTTCATTTCGTCCGTACCCCGCTATGGGAGGGGCTCACTTGCCGGGAGGGTTCCCGCATTTCCCCAGTTTTAGTGTTCCCTTCCCGGGGCAGTGTTGCCTGGGATTCGATTTCATGGCTATCTGGTGTCTTCGCCACCAATTTGTTTGCTTCCACGAACACCTTTGAAGGCGGGCAGGGTAGGCATTTGCTGTGAATTTTGATGTCTTTATTTAGAAGAGATTTATGAAACTGTGTACCGTATCATGATTCTTGGCTTCTAGGCAAGAAAAATAAATAGAGGAAATGAAGAAATCCGGAATAGATGTTCTAGCATCTGCCAGAGCAGAGAGCAGAGCGTGGATTTACTGACTCCTGTAAGAGCCCGATTAGGCTCTGTTGAATAAATCTGATATTGCCCTCTTGGTTTCCCCATCTGCCCAATTTCTGCCAGTCCTTTCTGGAAGACTCCTCTGGGGAATGAAAGCAAAAAATTTTGCTGCCTGGGCTTCAAGAGTCTCCCTGGAGATGGTGCCCTAGCATTGGGGAGAGCCCCCCTCCCTCATCCCAGCCCCCACCCATGATCCTAATGTGGGGCCAGGGTCGGGGGCCCCCCACCCCGCGAGGGGCGCTCTGGGCACACCCTCCAGAAGAATACAGGAGGACAGTGAGAAGGCAGGGGGACGCTGACAGTGCAGGTGGCTACAGAGTGCCGTGAAGGGAGAGCCAGCAAATCGTGTCCCCTTCGCTGTGCTCCTCTCCAGCTGTCCTGACAGTGAGGAGGACTCAGGGGTCCCCGGCTTGGCTAGGCCTCCCTCTGCAGCGGCATCCTGGACGGGGTGTTTTGACTCTCACAATGGCGAGGCCGGCGGCTCCTCTGCAGGGCGCTTATCGGGAGTCCCCACTGGGTGTCGCTGTTGTTCCACCGAACGAAGCCGGCCGCGCAGCACTGCCTCCTGGCGAAGATTAAGACTGAGGCCTAGAGAGGGAGCGGGACTTGGAGCCGGCGCTCAGGGAGTGCCTCCAGCGCCAGGAGACGTTTGAACAAAGACCTAAAGAAGGCGAGGGGGTTAGACCCAGTGATCCTCTGATCTTCTCTCCCTCTCTCGGCCCCGTGCCCCTCGCCCCAGTGCATGTGCGTGCGTGTGTGTGCGTGCGTGTGTGTGTGTGTGTGTACAAGCTTTATTAAGATAGTGTTCACATTCCACACCATTCACCTCGTCGGAGTGTACAGTGTGGTGGTTTCTGATGCGTTCAGAGTTGCAAAACCCTCACTGTAGCCCCTTTTAGAGAGCATTCTCTCCGCCCCCCAAAGGACCTCCACAGCCCTGGCTACCAAGGCCCGCAGCCCCCAGCCGCCTCCCAGCCCCAGGATGCCGCTGACCCTAACTTGTGGCCCCCCACATTGGCCCGGCCTGGCCATCTCGGGGCGGCGGGAGCCTCCCGCACGGGGTCCCGCGATCAGCCTCCGCACTCGGCGTCCCGTGCCGGGCCCCATCAGCTCCGCTCGTTTTTGCTGCCAAGTTCGAGTGCGCTGCGTGGCTGGAGCCCACCCGACCCGGCCGTTCCGCAGGATGGGGCTCGGGGCTGTTTCCGGTCTTTGGCTCCTGTGAGTAGCGCCGCCGTGAGCATTCCGCGTGCGCGTGTCGCATAGACGCGTGTGTTCACGTCTCCTGGGCGCTCGCCCCGGAGTGGACTTGCTGAGTCAGATGGCAGCTGTGTGTTACCTGAGGGACTGCCGCGCTGTTTCCCAGAGGGGCCGCAGCGTTGTCACGGGCTGCAGTTTGCTCCCTAGCACTTAGCTGCCTTCTCACAGAGCCCCTGATTTCCTTCCGCTGCCCAGTGGCCCGCCTCTCTGTGACGTGCAGGGCCGCGGAGGCAGGGATCTGAGCCTGCCGTGTTCACTGCCATTTCCAGGGGCGTGGGACGGGGACTAGCTCATAGGCACTCGGTGCTCAGTAACTACCCCTCGAGTAAATGGATCGATCTGGGTTTTCTGATTTTCGTTCATTCATTTACTGCCCCATGGAAATGAAGTTCTTGCCACGTACCTGATACATAAAACAGTGGACAAGGCAGGTGGCCCTTGCCTGCTTAGAGTGGACACACAGTCTGAACATCTGGCCTGACCCCTACCTTGGTGTGTAAACCACACTACACAACTCCCCCACACACACACTTACGGCCTAGACACTGTACACACACACACACTCGTGTGATGAGGATATGAGTTGTGATGATGGGGGAATGGCCGGGAACTATGCCTAGCCCAGACTTGGACTTCCTGGGAAAGGCTTCCTGGAAGAAGTGATGTAAATATTGAATCTGGAAGATAAGTAGGAGCTTGCCGGGCCCGGGGCGGGGCAGTGCTGATTGAGGTGGTGTAGCGAGGCGAACCAGGGGCACTCCAGGAACATGGTGTGGGCAGGATGGGGGTGTTAGTGACGGAGAGAGGTGAGGCGGGGAGGGCTTGAGGGGCCAGCTGTTCGAGTCTGGCACCTGCAAAGGATTCGGGTGATCTCCCAAGAACAGTGGACGCTTTCGATGTAATGGGGGAGCAGGGAAGGGCCAACCCTGATGCAGGTGTATGGGTGCAGGTGGGGAACTGATATTGTTAGAAGGATCCAGTAAAAGTTTGAAAAATTTAGTAGCCTGAAAGTATTCCCTGCCTCTGTAAAAGACTCTGGAACTATGGGTTATTCAGAAGGAGATCCAAGGTAGCCTCCCATGGCCCACTGCACACTTTAAGATATCTCCCTTTATATGCCTTTAAAGTAGTTACCTACTTACCTAGATCTACAGTCCCTTATCCATGATTTTAAAATCCAGAAAGTTCTAACAAGTGGGGTTTTCCAAATTTGGTTCCCATTGGGTGGAAAAACCTTACTTAAATGATGAGGCTGTTATGGTCCTCATGCCTCCCTTGTGTCTGCATTGTCAGGTTTGCCTGAGAAATATTTAACGTGTGTGATCCCAGCACCAGGGCCCAGAAGCCACTGAGGGGGTAGCCTCATTTATAGGGCCTGTGTACCCTGTTTCTAGGATTTGGAAGGAATGAATTTTGAAAACTGCTTGGCCCTAGTGGCCTTGTGAGAACTTAAGCCCTGAATGTCTGTCGTTCCTGCCGGATTTCAGCCACCCAAGCACCACCCGTCCTCAGCCTCTGTTTCTTGTTGGGGCTGGGCATGGCCTTGGTCACACTGGGAGTGCTCAGGAGACCTCTCTCATGCCCCATCCGCAGCATGGTCCCCCCCTCCCCCGGCACGGCCTGCCCTGCTGCCGGGCTCCCGCGTCGGCCCCCGGGCCCTGTGTTCTCCCGCCTCGTCACAGGACGCTTCCTCTGAGTGGCTCTTGCTGCTTCTTCCAGGCACTTTGGCTGGAGTCATCGATCTCGCCGTGGACTGGATGACCGACTTGAAGGAGGGGGTCTGCCTGTCCGCCTTCTGGTACAGCCATGAGCAGTGCTGCTGGACTTCCAACGAGACCACTTTTGAGGACAGGGACAAGTGTCCCCTCTGGCAGAAATGGTCGGAGCTGTTGGTGAATCAGTCGGAGGTGGGTTTCTGGGCAGCGTCCTGGCTGGGAGCCCCTGCCGCTCCGCAGGCTCATTGGAACAGCCCTGGGCCTTCTGTGGCTGCTCGTGCTTCCTTCCAGTGTCTGTTCTGATGACCGTCCTTGGCTCAGTCCCAGTGCGCCTTGGCTTCCTCTGGCTCTGATGCGCAAACTTGAGTCGGAAAAGCTTTCCCTACTGATTCACGTGCACCACATATGTATGTATTTGTAAAAGTCTTGTTTTTTCTTCCCGAGAGGGATGTGCTGACTATGCTGAAGAAACAGGGCTGCTTTTTATACCTTCCGATATGAAAAGAAGTTACTTTTTTTTTTTTTTTTTTTAACAAAAAACAGTACCAGCTTTAGTGAGATACGATTCACATTCTACACGGTTTGCCCGTTTAAAATGTTAAGGGCCCTGGTTTTTAGAAGATTCAGAGTTGTGCTGCCATCACCACAATACAATTCTGGAACACCTTTATCATCCCAAAAGAACCGTTGTACCCATTGCAGCCACTCCCCATTCCTCCCAACCCACCAGCCCTAAGCAACCCCTGATCTCTTTGTCTCCAAGTGGAGTCCTACACTGTGCGGCGTAGAGTGCTAAAAATAACTCTAACTCAGTGTGCCCACTTCTTTCACTCAGCGTCACGTTTTTCAGGTTCATGCTGTAGGATAAATTGCCATTCCCTTCCTTTTTGTGGCTGAATCCTATTTCACTGTATGGCTCGACCATACTTAGCCACTCCGTAGTTGACGAACGTGGACTGCTTCCCCTCTTGTGCCCTTAGGAATGATTTTGTTTTGAGCGTTTGTATACAGGTTTTTATATATGTTTTTCGTGACCTTGTTTTTCATCTCTCTTGGGGCTCGACTTAGTTGGCGAATTGCTGTGTCCTGTGGTAACTTGGTGTTAAACCTTTGGAGGAGTATTTTCAAGAGTGAGTTCCCCATTTTCCAATGCCACCAGCCGTGTGCGTGGGGCTTTCCGGCACTTGTGATTGTCTGGGTTCGATTCTAGCTGTCCTAGCAGGTGTGACGTGCCACCCCACTGTGCTTTAAGTACTCGTCTTCCAAGGCATTTTAAGAGCGCATTGCTGAGGATGTTTCTGGGCCTTCTCTGATAGGAGGGTCCAGGTAGCTACAGACTGGGCACTTGCCTTCAAGGCCCTTAGAGCTTCCCATCTATACAAAAGTCTTCATTCAGGAAAAGGGTTAACTTGTAACTGAATTCAGGGGCCATTACAGTGACTGTGGGTCATGGACAGATCGGAAGCCCAGGTGGGGTGGGGCAGCTAGGTTGGTGAGATTCACATGAGGGGTAGTGCGAGGGTGTATTTTTAGACGATGGGTGTGGTTTATCCCTTTTCTCCCCTCTACCCCATCCCCAACCACATGCATCCCCACCATGGACTTAGCCACAGCTGAAGATGGGCCATTTTACTAAACCTCTTCCTCAGTAGAATTGAAAATTGATTCTTTCCAATCTCAGAAGGAGACAGGGATCTTGAAATCTCCCATGTTCTCAGTGCTCTCCATTTCTTCCCAAAATAAATTCTCTACTTGGGTTGATGGGAGTGGACAGGCAGAATTGGCTGGATACCATATTTTATTTCTTGTTCCTACTTACAATACGTTTTTTTGTTGGGGGGAATATAGCTCTTCATCTTTTCAGCCGTTTCTAAGATTTATACTTTGATTCAAAGAAGAGCTGTTAGTAAGAATGAGAAGTTATTTTTACTCTCAAAAAAGTATGGTTTTAAGTGGCTGAAACGTATTCCTCAGTCTGATCGCTCTTGCACAGGGTGTGAATAAAAGTGATTGTCAAGGCCAGAGCAGTCTCCTGGAATGTGGTTCGGCATTTCCTAGGCGCACGTGTGCCCTTCTCCATGGCCTGACTTGTCGGTGACCTCGCTTTCCCTCGCCCCTCACTGGGCTAACCCAGATGGTGGCGTGAAGCTGAGGCCACTGGAAATGTCCCCGTCCCGCAGACCAGGTCCTCAGGGTCGAAGACCCCAGACTGCATGTTCTTCATTCATCAGATAATTTGGAATAAGTGGTTCAGTGCATGAGCCTGCAGGAGAAGCTCATGTTTTGCCCTCGAAGTGCTGGCCAGCTTGCCCAAACACATTTTGCGCCCCCCCCCCCCCCCCCGTGTCTGACGCGGCAGCCCTGGGATAGGGCCTTGAGTGTCTGCATTTCGCCCACGGGGCCTGGACCACAGCGGGATACGGGGCTGCCACTGGCCTACGGGAGGGCCGAGAGAGGCCAGTGCACCGCGGATGGGACCAGACGAACCTTCCAGGGGCTCTGCGGCAGAATTTCCGGCGTCGCACTGTTCATGACCTTCAGCGTGACGGATGAGGCCAGCTGCAGGCCCTCTGCCGCTCGCCCGCAGGCGGGGCCTCCCCCGGGGCCAGGCAGGCGCAGGCAGCTCCCAGAGGCCCCCGGGGCTGGGTCGGTGTATACCTGCCGGCGCGGTGGCAGCCTCTCTGAAAACCGACCCTGGCCTCTCTGGGGACATGGGGCCAGCTGAGCAGCTGTCCCCGGCCAAGGCCCTGCTGTCCCTGAGGAGAGGGTGGGCGGGGGTGGTGCTGGGCTCTGCCTTTGCTCACGTGTCCTTTCTCGTTTTGTGCTTGTTGTCCAGGGCGCCAGTGCTTACATTCTGAATTACCTCATGTACATCCTGTGGGCATTGCTGTTTGCCTTTTTGGCCGTCTCCCTGGTGCGCGTGTTTGCGCCATACGCCTGTGGCTCCGGTATACCAGAGGTGAGTGGTGGCCCAGTTTCTTCTGTGCCGGTAATAAGAAAAGCAAATGCTTAGGTGCCCAGCATGGTCCGGAGCATTTGCTATGTGTTAACTCGTTGAGTCCTTACAAGGAGCCTGTGAGGTGGGTTCTGCTATTTTTCACTTGATAGTTGAGGAAACTGAAGCACAGAGAGGTTAAGCAGCTTGCCTGGGGCTGCACAGCTGGTTTGCTACAAGTTGAACCCAGCCGTCTGGCACCAGAATTTATGCTCTGTGTCAGGACTTAATGCTCTTTCTCTTTTCAGATGATTAAATTCTTATCTTTGCAAGCCAGGCATAACTCTCAAAGCCTGTGCAATCAGTTCATTGACCCCATACCTAAATGTGGCCCTTCAGGAACTTGTCAGTGCACCTGTGACATAATGGGGAGAAGGCAGTAACGGGGGTTTGTCGCTCAGAATGTTGACTGATGAGTCAACCCTCTTACGAGTGAACTCCCTTGCCTCTTTTCTTCTTCTGGTGACAGGGTAGTAGCAATCTTTAAAAAATTTACTTCCAGGGACGCCTGGGTGGCTCAGTGGGTTAAGCCGCTGCCTTCGGCTCAGGTCATGATCCCAGGTCCTGGGTTCAAGCCCCACATCGGGCTTTCTGCTCAACAGGGAGCCTGCTTCCTCCTCTCTCTCTGCCTGCCTCTCTGTCTACTTGTGATTTCTCTCTGTCAAATAAATAAATAAAATCTTTCAAAAAACAAAAAAAACAAAAAAAACTTACTTCCACAATCAGGACATGCTCTGTGAATGCACCCCCGAGTTCAGAGTTCTTACATTGTATAGCACTTCCATGTAACGTGAGTGTGAGGGAAGTGACCTCATCGACCAAGAGGAACGCTTGTGATCAAACTTCAGACCCAGGAGGATCTACCAGCTAGAATGATGGTAATTGAGTGAGTTCCCCCAAGAGCCCAGACAGTGAACATTTTAGCCAGAAATAAGTTTAAAAGTTCTTTTTTAAAAATTTTTATTTATTTATTTATCTAAGAGAGAGAGAGATCACAAGCAGGCAGAGAGGCAGGCAGAGAGAGAGGGGGAAGCTGGCTCCCCGCTGAGCAGAGAGCCCGATGTGGGGCTCGATCCCAGGACCCTGAGATCACGACCCGAGCTGAAGGCAGTGGCTTTAACCCACTGAGCCACCCAGGCGCCCCAGTTTAAAAGTTCTTATACTGGGGTGTCTGGGTGGCTCAGTCGGTTAAGCGACCGACTCTTGGTTTCAGCTCAGGTCGTGATCTCGGCGTCCTGAGATGAGCCCTGTGTGGGGCTCCATACTTAGCACGTAGTCTGCTTGGGACTCACTCTCTCTCCCTCTGCCCCTGCTCCCTTGCGTGTATGCGCGCGCACTCTGTCTCCGTAAAACAAATCAATAAATATATTTTTTAAAAAGTTCTTATATTATCACTATAATCAAGCTGGTGCTTCAGCAGGGCCCCTAGAGGTGGAGAAGGTGAGTTTACAGATGCGACCGGTGGTGGCAACAGACGCACGTTGGTCCCCGCTCCCCCACACGCACCCTCTTTGGTGGTCCTTGCCAACACGGCCGCTGTTCTGGGCAGTTCCTGGAAAGGGCAGGAGTCTTTGAACGATTGTCAAAAGAAAAGCCCAACGTTGTCCTGTTCCAGGAAAGAGGGAGAGAAAAAAGAATATGTCAGGCCGACTTTGCGTTGGCTTGCGTTAACCTGTTGCTGCACGAACCGGAAGAGCAGAGCCGCGGCAGCATCCTGTAGCCTTGGTGAGTCCCTTCTGCTCCCGTGCAGCCCAGGAGTTCCCGCGGGTCCCTGGGGCGTGCAGCATCGCACGGGCAAAACCACCGCGCTGCTGGGCCAGACAGCAGCAGGAGCACAACCCTCAGAAATGTCCATCAGTGACGCCTATGAAAGATAGAAACCTAGAAAACCAGTAGCCCAGGGACCTGGCTGTCTTTAAGCCTCTGCCTTCAGCTCAGGTCCCGATCCTGGAGTCCTGGGATCGAGTCCCACTCCTCGCTTAGTGGGGAGTCCGCTTCTCCCTCTGCCTGTCCCTCCCACTGCTTGTGCTCTCTCTCTCTCTCTCTCTCCCTGACAAATACGTTAATAAAATCTTAAAAGAAAACCCCAATAGCCTGGCTTACACATGTGAAACGGTTAAGAAACATACACTCGCTAGTGCACGTGTGAACTGGTGGCCGTTGGAGGCCCATGCTGTGTGCATTTTGTGCCTTCCTGTCCCGCTCTGTTTGGCTGGGGCCATTTTCCACGCGCATCTCATGTTTCTCCCAGATGAAATTGGGCAAAAACAGACGCGAAATTTGCATTATACTCTAGTTCTTCCCCAATGCACAAGTCAGACTGAAACAAATTTGTGTTTGCAAAACCAGCGTTACGGCAGAACGGACTGTGTCATGTTTGGTGTCTTGGAGCTGAGGCCCCCGGACACTAAAAAGTGCAGACGGGCATTGCGCTCTCCGTCCGATGGTCCCACCGCCTGACCGTAGGCTCTCTGGGACCCAAACTGCCTTTCCAAAATGAGCAGGTGGCCGATGGGGAATTGGAGAGTTTAAAGCAGTAATAAAAGGGGTGATGCGCCGTGCCATCTCCCCGTTCCAACAACCAGAGACACCTGGCTCACCTTGGGATCTTGTAGACAGACTGGGGGCTTGGACGTGAACTCTGTCTGTGAGGGGCTCCCTGGACTTGGTCTTTGTCCAAAGAGGGCGTGTATTTGTGACAGCTGAACTCAAAAAGAGTTAAATCCAAAGCTGAGTGTGACGATCTCGATGTGGCGGATGTGCAAGGCACACGCTGGTGTGCATGAAACTCAGGAAAGCAACGGCCAGAATTATGTAGAGTATGATTCTGTTTATACGAAGTCCACACACAGCCACAGTGAAAGCACACACTGTTTACTGACACGCACATGTGCTAAACGTGTAAAGGCGGGCAAGGAAATGATTGGGCGGGGGGAAGAGGAAGGATCCACCCAGGAAGCCAATACAGGGCTTTCCTAGGTACCCAGTCTTCTCTCTGGTGTGCTGGTGGGTACACGGGTGCTTGTTTTATTAATACACTTCTAACTACACATCACACATAACAGATTAGTTTCTCAATTTGTGAAAGAGTTCGCAATAATCTTTTTTTAAAGACTTTATTTGAGAGGGAGAGCGTGCGTGCATGAGTTGGGGTGAGGGGGTAGGGGCAGAGGGAGAAGCAGGCTCCCTGCTGAGCAGGGAGCCCAATGCTGGGACTCGAACTCAGGACCCTGGGATCATAACCTGAGACAAAGGCAGACGCTTCACCGACGGAGCCACCCAGGCGCCCCCACAATAATCTCTTAGGATTATTCCTCCAGGAACCCAGTTGAGGTCTTATAATTTAGTTTTGGTTACTATGACTCAGCAGTAGCAGAATTCTATTATTATAGGAGAGCTTGCAATCCCTAATCTTAGGGTCCAACTCTCAGAGGAAAGGGGCAGGGTAAAAAGGAAATATAAATAAATGTTTCATGCGTAAAAAGAGCCTCTTAGTTGAAACCCAGCTAGCTGTGTAAACGGACTTCACTCAGATTGAGCTACAGCCCCATTATCTCTCCTGTCACATAGCGCGCAGCGTCAGAGCGCACTTAGGCCCGGGTGCCCTTCGGCAACATCTACCCATTGCTCGTCCTCCCCAGCCTTTGCTTCGGAAACATTTTGATCGCCTAGAATGGACATTCCTTTGGAAACACTGGTAAAAATGCAGATTGAGAGAACACTGATTTTTGTGTAACAAATGTTCTAGTTTAAGCTCTATGAAGCACCTGAAAAGTGTCCTCGGACTGGGGAGTTAGAAGTAGGCAAGGGTGTCCTTCCTGCCGTCGCTATCAGCTTTGTTGGTAGAACCACTGTGGACTCTAAGAAATCACGTCCTCTTAAAACTGACTTTGAACCGATGTTGCAGTTCATTACAAAAAGCATTCGCTCTCGCAGATACTTACTTGCCAGGAAGGTTTTTACCTTGAACATCTGCGGGTTGGAAAACCACCCTAGTACATGCCACGAAAGCTCTGCCTGATTCAGTCTCTGTTGATTCATACGAATCAGGTGATTAGGCTTTGGCATTTACTGGCAATGAATTTGCTTTCTTTAGTCCCTAATGTGATCATGACAATTTCATAAAATCATTATAGCGAATTACCAAATACCTGTTACATTGTTCATTTCACCGCGTGTCACGGCTGGCAGAGGCTCAGGTAATTTAGATGCTTGTGATCTTCTAAATGGTATTACACTCTCAACTGTACCCTAGGGTCCAAATCTACATTAACTAACGGACAAAAAATTATAGATAATTTTATCCGAGGCAACACAAAAGGGCAGGACTGTGGCAGGCATAATAAAACATCCCTTAAATAAAGAGATCTGAGATCCCCCGAGCACTGGCTCAAATAAGCCCGCTACCCCTAGTTAAAGACCCGCCAGTCTGCCATTAGTTAGGGGCTAGTTCAGGAAACACCGTCCGACTGTGTAGCTAGAAGACCTCACTGGGGCTTTATAGGAAGGAGCTCGTTGCGTTCTTTGGAAACGTGTGCTTGCACACTCCCTCGCTTGGTATTTCTCCGTGAATTAAGAAACAGATCTCTATCAATAATGCCGGAGATGAAGGTACTCCACTCAGGAGCCTGACGCGAGGCTCGATCCTGTGACCCCGAGATCAGGACCTGAGCTGAAACCAAGAATCAGACACTTAGCTGACTGAGCTGGCCAGGCGCCCCCCGCCTTTAGAAATTCTTAAGGCTCGCTATGCATCAAATGGTTTCCAGTTACTGTTCATATGGTATGTTATCATAAATTCTGTTAATATAAAATTACAGTCAAGTCCAGAACTAAAGTAGCTTCTCCTCTGTATGATCAAGCAAGTCTAGCGCTGGTGAATCAGTTCCTTTCCTCGCTGCGGCATCCAAGCGGCTCACTCGCTCCCGTTCTCCATCCTCTTGCAGATAAAGACCATTTTGAGCGGCTTCATCATCAGGGGCTACCTGGGGAAGTGGACCCTGCTCATCAAGACCGTCACCCTGGTGCTGGTGGTGTCCTCCGGCCTGAGCCTGGGGAAGGAAGGGCCGCTGGTGCACGTGGCTTGCTGCTGTGGCAACTTCTTCAGCAGCCTTTTCTCCAAGTACAGCAAGAACGAGGGCAAGAGGCGCGAGGTGAGCAGGCTGCACTCCCGTCCGCGGTGATGGCCTCTTCTGGAAGCCCCGTCCCGGCTCACCTGCTCACGCGGGTCTGCACGGCAGGGCTGTGGGCTCACACAGAGCTCTTTGTCCCGCAGGTGCTCTCGGCCGCTGCCGCCGCCGGAGTCTCCGTGGCCTTCGGGGCTCCGATCGGGGGTGTGCTCTTCAGTCTTGAGGAGGTGAGAAGGGGCAGTGGGTGGGGGGGCGGATCTGCCAGTTCGGGGGGCTGAGGATGGCTACCACAGAGGTAGTGACAAGATTCCTGCCGCTCATTAAGAAGCCGCGATTTTCACTGTTAAATATGTTTTCAAGTATTATTTTAAAAATTGCCAATGTAATTATTATTATTATTATTATTTTTTGGAAGTTTGCAGTCTCTTTCTCCTAACCAACTTAATGAGGCATTTCTGTTTTTGGCAACCCAAACGGATCTATTCCAGGGATCAGCAAATGTTCTCTGCAAAGGGCCAGAGAGTAAATATTCTGGGCTCTGTGGGTTTTCTGGTCTCGGGTGGACTACTCGGCTTTGTGGTTGCAGTGGAAAAGCCTCCACACACAACACTCACACGAGCGGGCATGGCTGCATTTCTTTTTTTTTAATTTTTTTTTTAAAGATTTTTATTTATTTATCTGACAGAGAAAGAGCAAGCATGGGCGGGGGGAGGGGGCAGAGCGAAAGGGAGAAGCAGACTCCCCACTGAGCAAGGAGCCTGACTCGGGACTCAGTCCCAGGACCCCGGGACCATGACCTGAGCCGAAGGCAGGCACTTAACGACTGAGCCACGCAGGCACCCCTCTGGTTGCATTTCAATAAAACTTTCTTTGTGGCTGCTGGAGTGTGCATCTTATATAATTTTCACATGTCACAAAATATTGCTTTTGACCATTTCAAAGCTCACAAAATATTTCTTTTTGACCCCCAGCATTTAATAACGTAAAAAAAAAAAATTCTTAAGTCATGTGACATACAAATACATTCAGCAGGCTAGGGTTTTCCTACCCTGACTGATTCCATTTTATTCTGTAGAATCAAATCCAGAGGTTTATTCGCTTTTGGGAGGGTCTTTGTGACATAAACAGAATTAGAACGAACTATTCCCATTTCTTTTACAAGAGCTCAAACACATCTGGAGTAGTATCTGCTTCACTTTAAGACACAGAGTCCTTTAAATGTCTTCGTTGGTGCGTCTTGGTGGTAATGAACCCTAGCCCGAGGAAGTCGGTACCGCCCGTCTTTGGTCTGAGTGCAACCGTCCCACTAAGCGCCACTGCGGGGGCTGCCGATCACGGGCTGGGGGCTCAGGGCAGCTCTTCCTTCAGCCAGCCTCATGTCCTCCTTGTTCGCCCCAGGTCAGTTACTACTTCCCCCTGAAGACCTTGTGGAGGTCCTTTTTCGCGGCCCTGGTGGCAGCCTTCACGCTGCGATCCATCAATCCTTTTGGGAACAGCCGCCTTGTCCTCTTCTACGTGGAATATCACACGCCCTGGTACATGGCTGAGCTCTTCCCCTTCATCCTGCTCGGGGTCTTCGGCGGCCTGTGGGGGACCCTCTTCATCCGCTGCAACATCGCCTGGTGCCGGAGGCGCAAAACCACCAGGCTGGGGAAGTACCCGGTGCTGGAGGTCATTGTGGTGACCGCCATCACCGCCATCATCGCCTACCCCAACCCCTACACGCGCCGGAGCACAAGCGAGCTCATTTCCGAGCTGTTCAATGACTGTGGGGCCCTCGAGTCTTCCCAGCTCTGTGACTACATCAACGACCCCAACATGACCCGGCCTGTGGATGACATCCCGGACCGGCCGGCCGGCGTCGGGGTCTACACGGCCATGTGGCAGCTGGCCCTGGCGCTGGTCTTCAAGATCGTCATCACCATCTTTACCTTTGGCATGAAGGTCAGTGAAGGGGACGGAGGGGCAGGGCAGGGGTGAGGGGACAGGCACCCTCCTCTTCGGGAGAAAAGGGAGAGGGGGAGGGAACTGACCTTTACCAACTCTTTTCTCAACGCTGGACACTTGACATTCTTTTTAATCACGAAGATGCAATGCTTTTGATAAACAGCGCGCCTGGGAACCAGACTGTAATCACTGTACAAGTGAGCAAGTGAGGGCTCAGAGTCTGTCATTCATCTGGGGCGGTGCATAGCTTCAGGAATTCCCGTAAAATGCACGCTTGTGTCATGAGCACCCAGGAGCCGAAGCAGAACATTTCGAACCCCGAGGAACCCCTGTAGTGTTCTGCTACTCTTGCTTTCTGTGCGGGACTTTCATGATTTGTTTCATTTTAAAAAGGCTAAGCAGCTGTGTACTCGAGTGGGTAATGGTCAAACAGAAATCTGAATTTTTGCCTTAGGGGCGAAGACGGGTGGACTTTATTAAACAGCCAGCTGTCTCCCCTTCGCTGTCTTCCAGCAAAGGGATTGTTTGTGTGTCCAAGAGAGATGCCAGCAACCTCTTGTGCCCACCGAGAGGGGTCTGCTTTGCAGTTATAGGGAGTTAACTGACTAGGAATTGGGGGGCCACTCAGAGCACCATCCCAAAGTCTAGAAATCACCCTCGAGGATCCAGACTTGCCTGGAATTTGGTTACAAATCCACTTGCAGCCTCAGATCGATGACTGTCCTGGGCCACTGCCAGGCGGGATCGGCGATCCCGTGCAGTCTCCATGAACACGGAGGGTCAGACACGCGCTCTGGCCCACGTCCGATCCCCAGAGAAGTGAAAATGCGTTTCCACGCAGCAAAATGTAAAGCGCGCCGCCCCCAAGATCTTGCAGTTTACACAGTCCGGTTCTTTGCTGCCTTTCACCGGCTTGAACATACTCAGAATACTTCTGGGAAAGTACTTCATTAGGAAGGGGGGATGGCCCCCGTCTCTCTGACAGGTGTGGCACTACTGTGTCCTCACGGGGACTGTGAGCCTGTGGAAAGCTTCCGAAGGTGCTGGGCAGCCGCACTGGGCTGCTTGGTGTGACCCGTGAACAGTCGCACGCCTTCCTTTTCCATTCCCCTGCTGCGGCTTCACGTTTAATGGTAAAAGCTCGTGTGAATGACGCACAGGGGAGAGAGGAGGGTGAGTATTTGCAGGGGGTCATCATCCTTGAATCCCCAGCAGGAGAAGCAGGCCGGGTTTTGAAGGAGAGGTAGCAGAAGTGTAAAGTCGCGTTCTGTCCGAGTCACAGTAGCTAGGACTGACCAGATGGGTTAAGCCACTTGTCCTGTTTGGTCCATACCGCTGACCCTCTGTTTGGAAGCGTTGTGCCCCCTCTGAAGACCAGTGGGGCGCAAGCCCGTGGAGGGGGGGATTGATCACCGGGAGTGGGGAAGCGGGGCTGCGGCCTCCTTCCCTCATACTTCCCTTCCCTGTGTGCCCCCCGGAGATCCCCTCAGGCCTCTTCATCCCCAGCATGGCGGTGGGAGCCATGGCCGGCAGGATGGTGGGAATCGGCGTGGAGCAGCTGGCTTACCATCACCACGACTGGATCGTCTTCAGGAACTGGTGCAGGCCCGGAGCGGACTGTGTCACCCCCGGACTTTATGCCATGGTGGGAGCAGCGGCCTGCCTAGGTACAGCCCCGGCTGGGGCGCAAGGGAAGGGGGGCCAGGCCAAGCGCCGCCACCAGCTGCTCTGGGTTAGGGCACCGGGGAGAGGGAGGACATGGCCTTGAGTGTTGGCTTTCCCAGGACAGGCTGTGTTGTGTTGCTGTCGCATGGAAGGCCCTAAATCTCAGTGGCTTATCATACCGGGGCTTGTAGCTTGCTCGCGATACGCAGTGGGTTCTCATTATTTGCGGAGCCCACATTTGGGAATTGGCCTCCTTGCTAAAACCTGTGACCTGTAAGTCAACACTTGGGGTGCGTTTGCTGTGTCATCCTCAGACACGCGCAGGAGCAGTGGAAAGTGCGAGGTGTCTAGTGTGTGTGCTCCCAGCTCCGGGTGAACGAGGTGGGGAGGCCTGCCCTCTTGTCACAGCTCGGATACTCTACACATGTGGCCTTTTCGTGGTCTATCTACTGCCATGTGTTTTGCATTTTGCGAATGATTTTGTTGTTTTAAATGGCCCCCAGCCATAGTGCTAAATACAGTCTGTCTGGGCATCGTACGCACAAGAAGGCTGTGATGTGTCTTATGGAGAAAATAGGAGGGTCACAGAAGTCTTCTCACACAGGAGTTTCAGTCTGCGGGCCGTGCGTTCAGTGTTCGTGAATCATCTATGAGTGTTAAATAAGGTGTCTTTCAATAGAAATACACAGGAAATAAGGTTCTGTATTGGTCGGTCGACCAAAATGGTGTGAGCAGAAGCTTATAGAAACCCAACCTTGTGTTTTCCCCAGAGCAGTGATTCAGCATTTGCTCCTTCCGTATTTGTGGCAACTTTGTAGATCATAGCTACCATGAATAATGAGACTCGACCCTGTGTGTGCGTGTGCACACGTGCGTGTGTTCGTGTAGTGGGAGTGGTTGGAAGCTTCTCTCCACTCAGTCATTCAGGGCCTGGGTGAGGACGTGGTCTCCACCATGTTGCGGCCACGCCTTCTAGAATACTGGTTTTCAACCGGGGGCAGTTGTGCCTCTCGGGAACACTGGGTGACGGAGGGGACATTTTTGGTGGTCACACCTACGGGCTGGTGGCCGGGGATACCACCGTAGAACACAGAACACCCACCTGAGTTGTCCTAGTGCCGAGGTCGAGAAACCCCAGTTCAAGGTCACTGGAAGACTCGTAGGAGTTGGAATGGATACCAGGGGACCCACAGTTGGGTCCCTCTCCTGTCCATAGCCACTAAGAATCTCTGCGGTTTCCCAGCTTACGGGTTTCTGGAACAGAACCACATTCGCTGTGTCAGAGCCCTGCCTAGCCCACTCACCCGAAAGCCAGGCTCGTGGTCTTGGGTGAAGAGACAGCCCAGTTGTCTTCTCACCGAAGAGCCCCCCAGGCAGCTGTGACTGCGGCCCCCTGAGGTCGCGCTGCGTTCACCAGAGCTTGGCCGGCGTTCCAGAGGTCTGTGCTGGGCGACATGCCGGACCGTGTCTTCGGAACAGGTGTCTGGAGGCTTTAGAGGCAGCTTGTCCGTTTCCACAGTTCATGCCCTCCTGAGGGTCTGGAGTTGAGTTTCAGAATTGTATCTTGTCTTTGGTTGCAGGTGGAGTTACCCGGATGACGGTGTCATTGGTGGTCATCATGTTCGAATTAACGGGTGGTCTAGAGTACATTGTGCCCTTGATGGCAGCAGCCGTGACCAGCAAATGGGTGGCCGACGCCTTTGGGAAAGAAGGCATCTATGAGGCTCATATCCACTTGAACGGGTACCCATTTCTGGACGTGAAGGACGAGTTCACCCACCGCACGCTGGCTACCGACGTCATGCGGCCGCGGCGGGGCGAGCCGCCTCTGTCCGTGCTCACCCAGGACAGCATGACCGTGGAGGATGTGGAGACGCTCATCAAGGAGACCGACTACAACGGCTTCCCCGTGGTGGTCTCCAGGGACTCCGAGCGCCTCATTGGATTTGCGCAGAGGCGGGAGCTGATCCTTGCAATAAGTGAGTAGAGGGAGGGAAGCTCAGGCTGTACTAAGAGGCCAGGGCCGCCTTCGTCCCCCCTGAATTCCCGAAGAGGTTAGAGAGTGCCAAGGTCAGAGGGCTTTAAGCTGGGGCTCTCACACTTTCTCGAGCCTATTCAAGGAGACTCTGCATTGTGCTGAGCTCCTGGTTCATGCTGCTGCTGCTGCCGGTCCCCAGGTCCCACCATGAGGAACGATGTCTAGGGAGAGACCTGCTTGGCTGGAAAGTAACAGCCACATTTGCACGTGGCCTCTGGGGCCTGTCCCTTCTAGGTGGCCCATGGCCGCCACTGCCTTTTTAGGGAATTGTCAGGTGAAGCTGGGAAGGGTGGAGGCGGGGGAGCCCGGACTGGCCCTGGCCAGCTGCTCTCGGCGACAGGCTTTCCGGTGGGCTTCCCGACATCGAGGGTGAGTTCTTTGCCCCAGCCGCCTCCAGGGCCACCGCACAAGCCCTTCACTTGGCTGGTGGCGTTAGGTCCCACCCCACTACTCAGAGGCCCACCTGAGGCAGTTCCATGTGATGCGTTTCCTCCCAGTGTGCTGGCTGCAAGCCGCGGGGCTGAGGGGCAGGCTGTCGAGTCGGGAGAGGAGCGAGCGGGTGATGCCCGAGTGCGAGGTGCCCAGGATGGTGGCCCAGAGAAGCAAGTCTGCCGGCCCCGCAGCCTAGGGATGCGTGCACTGAAAGGGAGGTGGGAGGTAGGATTCCCGAGAGGCCTGGGTGTGAGCCACACGGAGACCTAGGAAGAAGGACAGTGAGCCTTGGAGATCCCCTTCAGGCTGGAGTCCTGCTGGTGCACGTGAGGTGGCAGGGGAGGGACCAGCAGAGCCCCCCACCCTGTGTGCGGGCCGGGGCCGGGGCCATCCTGTGCAGCCCGCCTGCTGCCGTGATCTCCCCAGCCCAGCGTCTCATGGCGGAATGGGGCCCACGACATGGCTTGTGTGGTTGCTTGATGACTTTCCCGCGTATCCCATCTCCCAGGGCATTCAGCAAGTTCACCGGTGGGACTAGCCGGGGTAGGACTGCCTGTGCCCTCACCAGACGACCCTTTGCTTATCCCTGCCCTCGGTTAAGGATTTCTGAGGCTCCCTTTCAATTTCTAAAATCTTTTTGTGATGTTGAATAGCCTTTCCAGTATCTTTGAAATACCTTCATCAAAGGCTCTATAAAAATCAGTTTGGGTAAGCCATATCCTCTCGCCTTAGCTTGTTGCTCGAACGGATTCCCCTCCCCCAAGGCAATAACTGGGTTTATATTTTGGACCCGACGGCACACTGGTGCGTCTGGGCTCAGCCTATGCTCACGTCCTGTGGCTCAACAGTTAGGTGCCTTTGGGCATAAATATTGCCTTCTAAATAACGAGGTTGGTTTTAAGCTGTATGAGCAGGGTTGGGTTTGTTTTTAAAATAATGTAATCAGCAGCCTTGAAAAATTTATTCAGTCCCTAAGATCTTTTAAGCAAAAGCTGAAATTTAAAGACTAAAGTGATGTCGCCGGGCGCATTCCCTGTTGTGCAACCCCGGGCGCACCTGCTACAAGACAGCTCACTAATTTCGCTGAAACCCGTTCCTGTAATCAAGTGGGGAGCGGTAATTGTCATCAGCCGGTTAGTGCAGAAATCTAAGCTTGCAGACGGAGCGGGCTCTCAGAAGCGGTGTTTGGAATGTCTAAAGAGGCAACACGCCGTGTAAATAGTACCTGTGCTTTCAGCCAGACGGATAATAGTGTAGAAGCTGCTGTTTATGTGGTTTGTGGAAAGGCAAGGAGTGTTTCACTCTAAGCAATCAGAAAAGCTGTTTTCTCGATCTATGGAAATAGAAGAGTCCCTGTATCCTGCTGGAGAAATGTGTGACCTGTATTTGCGGAATTATGTGGCCTTTTGTGAATATAAAATATGACTTTAGCATTTAGCTAGTGACTGTCTCATGCTGGTTTCGTTTTCAGGGGAATTAGGAGCAAAGATTATAGTTCAGTAGAGCCAAGATGGTTTGAATAAGAATGGTAGATGGGGCAAATAAGGACTTTGCTTACACATCACGTTAAAATTGTAGCAACTGGGGCCCCTGGGTGACTCAATTGGTTAAGCATCTGCTTTTGGCTCTGGTCGTGATCTCAGGGTCCTGGGATCGAGTCCCACATCAGGACTTCCGCTCAGCGGGGAGTCTCCTTCTCCTTCTGCCCCTTCCCCCTGCTTGTGTCCTCTCACTCTCTTTCTCAAATAATAAAATCTTAAAAAAAATTGCAGCAGCCGCTCCCGTGAAGCTGAAAATGTTATTTTCCAGCCATCTCTGGAATGCCACACTGCAGCCAGTGTCCTCGCCAGGGAGCAGTTAGCCCCACGTAGGACATGTGGCGCTCTTCCCCATCACGTTCGGACACATGGGGCCGTGTGTGACCCATGTGCAAATTCCCCGTAAATGAGACTCTGCCTCTCAGTGCTGTTTGCAAATACAAGGCTCTTTCTGTGCTTAGCAGGGCTCAGACTCTTCCAGTCTTGAATTCTGCAATTAGGTGAGGATGGGTTCCGAGAGGGCTCAGCGGGAAGCCGCAAAGATGATTAAAGGGATGGAAAGTTAGAGTCACAGGCAAGAGTTAAGGGGAACCCTCATTTTTTTCGTCTGGTGGGTGATTTAGTGATGATTCTGCAGCATGTGGAAGATGCTTGCTTGCAGAAAGGGGTCTGTGACCAGAACTGAACCTCTTGTCAGAGCTGTTGGAAGGGCTGTTGAGGGATAAAGCGGCTTCTTCCTGGGAGGGCTGTTCCTGACCCGCACAAGCCACGGAGAACAGCGCTGTCATCTGCCGCCTTCTGCTGGGGCTTGAACACATGTACAGAGGGACTCCTCCGGGCCGCTGTCCGCCGTGGCATATCATAGAATCATCTAGTTGTTCTTCGAAACAGTTTTTATTTTATTTTTATCACATTTGTTTTGGTGCCAACTACCGCTGTATAGTTTCAGTTTTTCTCTGCAGCCTTTTTAGTTAATGGCGTCTGTTACATGGAAGCATTTTTGATGGACAGGATGAGAGTGTTTTCCCAAGTCGGGCTTCTCAGCCTTCACGCTATTGACACTTGGGGCCGGATCGTTCTTTCCTGTTGGATGCTGAGCAGTATTCTTGGTCTCTGGCTGCTAGCTGCTGGTAGCACCCCCGTCTCCTAGTGATGACAACCAAATATAGCTCCAGAAAGTTCCAAATGTCCCCTGAGGGTCAGGGCAACCTTGCTCCCAGTTGAGAACCATTGCTCTAAAAGCCACAGGACTAGCTACTGCATATGTGATTATTTCCAGCCTTCAAATTCCTCGGTGTATCAGAGTTTGTGAAATTTACTTTATCGGCACTGTGCCTGGTGTTGTCATCGTACTGTCCACTAGAAAGTGCAAAATGTACCTCGTTCTTCAGGAGCTGTGGCCCCTGATACTAGCTCGGGTAGAATAGATAACAAAGCTCTTGTATTAAGAACAGCTTAATTGATCTTTAAAACAATTAAAAATGAAGTTTATGACATTCTTATGTGTTCGCTTGTTTTAAAGATTTTATTTTTTCATTTGAGAGAGAGAGAGCGAGCACAAGCAGGGGGAGAACCAGAGGGAGAGGGAGAAGCAGACACCTCGCTGAGCTCTGAGCTTGACGTGGGGCTCGATCCCAGGACCTGGAGATCACGACCTGAGCTGACAGCAGACGCTTAACTGACTGAGCCACTCAGCCGTCCCTATTTTTAAAGAATTAATACATATTCACAGAATATTGGGGAAATCAGAAGCAAAAGGGAAAATAAAAAAAAGCACCCACTTTCTCAACAGCATAGAAGGCCATGGTTAACGTCTGGTGCATTTCCTTCTTAGCTCATGGGCCTTCTACATATGTAAACATTGGGCCTTTTGGTGGGGGGTTCTTTTTTGACTCTGGCTTCCGTGAGGCCCTAGGGCCTGGGAGTCTACGCTCTTGTAGCCCCGGCTCATTCCCAGGGTGGGGAGTTGTTTTAAGCTTTCCAGCATGATCTATGTATGTCTTGTGCAGCCTCCGTGTGCGGGCATTGTTCTGGTCGCTGGGAGGGCGGGGAGCAGGAGCCAGTGACCGCCCTCTGTGAGCATGCGTGCTGGCCTCTGTTGCGGGCCTCGTGGTGACAGATGGAGGTTTCTTGCCCCAGTTGGGGCTAGACGGTTGGACCTAGCAGAGGGCTGCAAAAAGCTTTCTCGCTGGTCCTTCCATTCATCCGTTTTTGGCCTGTATGTCGCCCGTTGGAAGCGTTCAGCTAAGTCTTGGTAGGACAGTTCCAGAGCGGCCTAGCAGAGCCCTTCCAGAGTAGCAAGGAACACGGCTTGCATCTCTGGCTCCGAGTCCAGCTGGTGCCATTGATTCTTTTCGGCAGCGAACAGCTCGTGGGCTTTCCTTCCCAGGGTCTCCCCTGTGAAACGGGCTGTCCCACACGGCCGGAGGGACTGAGCACGCGGACATTTAGTAGAACCACTCGCTCATTCGTTCCCCTGTTGACTGATTCATGCACGCGTTTGGCAAGCATCTATTGTGTGCCTCCTGTATACCAGGCCTTGTCCAGGCCCTGGGAACGCACTGGCGAGCCGGGAACCGGGCATCGCCGAGCTAGCTGCTGATAGAATCGGGACTTCTAACCCGATCAGGACACTTGGAGGACACGGAAGGTGGTTCTCTATTTCGACAGGTGGACTGATGGTCACTCATTTGTGTTTGGTCTTATGAGGGGCTGAGCAAGTCCTCGTTTCAGTTCTTGACTGAGGTCTGTGGCTTGATCCAATCCCAGTGAAGACCGATCCTTGATCCATTCGCCCCGATGGTTGAAATGGCTGGGTTCCTGTCACGTGGGACTGTGAGAGCATTCTCGGGCTGCGACAATGAGCCGTGTGTTGCTAGTCACCAATGCACCTCAGGGCTCTGGGCCAGAACTGTCTTGATTGAGGAGAGAGATGGGCAGCGCGTACCATGCAGTGTCCACGCTTGAAAAACACGTCGTGCCTCTGCGTCCTCTGGTATTTGTGGTCGAATCCCAGCCCATTTGCTGTAACCGCATTTCCCCTGACCCACATAATGCGCCGGCATTTGCCCAGCGGGCCCACGGTTTCTCTTTTAAACAGAGACCCTTTTTCAAACTCAGCCTGACCCCGAATGCTGCCAGTTTTCCATTAGAATACTCAGGCAGTTCGAATTTTGTTTTTCAAAGAACAATGTAGGTGAATAGTAGTCTGTGAGAAGGCCAGAGATGTATTCTAGAAACCAGGATCCATTTGAAGACAAGCCTTACTTGTACATTTTTCCTAACCTTTTCCCATGAACCAAAAGAAAGATTAAAATTCCAACAGAAGGAAAATTGCCTTGGAGAAATATCTTGAGACCGATGGATTTATTTCACGTGTGACTTAAAATAGCCTGGGTTTCTAGTACTGCATAAAGCTGTATTTCTAATGAGTTCCTGTTACCCTACTTTTCTTCGGCTTGCGTTTGCATGTCCTTGCCTACAGATAGAAAGAGCCTCATTGTTACCATAACAGTTTTACTATCTTTCTTTGAGGAATCCCCAAAATGATCCATTTTTAAGAGAGGCCATCTAGGAGGTGGGGGCATGGTGGCTTTTCTGGAGTTATTTCTTTGGTCCCAAGGGCCATATTTGGAATTAAGCTGCATTTCTGGGCTGTGAGCCTGGGATGGCCCTATTGGTTTTTGTTCCTTTCAGGATTCATAATGCCATTTGGGCCAGTTAAAAGTTAGTTTGTAAAAAAAAAAAAAAAAAAAAAAAGAAAAGAAAAAAAGAAAAAAAACTTACTAAGGTCGTTGGGCAGCGAAGTGCAGTTTCTTGTCATGTCCGACTTGAGCCCACGATGAAGGAGTGTTAGGAAAGCAAGGGTGGAGGGCCCTGGGCCTTCTGGGTGTCCCCGAGCCCAGGAGGAGGTAGTACATCCTCCCAAAGAAGTGGCCTTGCTTCAGGCCCACGCGTCAAGACTTTGGCGACGATCAGGTCACAGCAGAGGGACCCTCACATGGCATTAGCTTCAGAGAGATGCCGATTTTCCAGATGTTTGGCTGAAGCCCTTCATTAAGAATGTGGCATTTGCCCCCCGAACCCCTCTCTGTGGGATTGTGGGACGCGGACAGAGGGAAGGCCGCTGTTCCTGTGGCGGGGGCTGGAGGCGGTTGCGAAACAGGGGCCTCTGCGCAGCTTATTGTTCCCGCTCACCCATTCCAGAGAACGCCAGACAGAGGCAGGAGGGCATCGTGAGCAACTCCATCATGTACTTCACGGAGGAGCCCCCCGAGCTGCCGGCCAACAGCCCGCACCCCCTGAAGCTGCGGCGCGTCCTCAACCTCAGCCCGTTCACGGTCACGGACCACACCCCCATGGAGACGGTGGTGGACATCTTCCGGAAGCTGGGGCTCCGGCAGTGCCTGGTGACGCGGAGCGGGTGAGTGTTCTGGCCGGACTCCGAGGAGACCAAGATGAACGAGTCATGGTCTCTGTCCCCGGGGGCCTCGAGGGGCAGCCGGTGCGAGGGGAAGGTGGGAGAAACCTGCCGGCGGGGCTGCTGGCCGGCCCCAGGCTGAGGGTTGAGTCAAAAAGGGGAGGAGCCGAAGGAGAAGGATTTGGGCAGCTTTTCTGCTCCCCCCTGCCCTGGGTGGCACTTGGCTCGGGGAGAAGGGACAGCTTGTTGTGCTGTCACGGGGTCTGGCATGCCTCCACGTGCTGGTGCCACGCAGAAGCGGGCAGTGAAAGGCACAGGCTCGTGAGAAAACGGGGGCGTGCGGGCACGCGGGGCGGACGTCACGGGGCCCGGAGCACGGCCTCTGCACGGTGCCTGGTTAGGAGCTACAGAACCGCTACGAGACGCGGATCACTGTATCTTAAGACGCGCCAAGGGTTTTTGCAGAAGCGGGTGTCGTAAGGGCGGTGGCTTGCGGGCTGTGTCCGGTGGAGCCCACATCGGCCCTGGGCTGGGGGCGCCGGCGGCCAGTGCCGTCTAAGGTCACGCAGAACTTGACTCCCCCAAAACCTGACTGCGGGTAGCCTACTGTTGACCAGAGCCTTACCGATAACGTGAGCGGCGCATTAACACGTATTTCTTCTGAACATGTATTTACACGCTGTAGTCTGGAAGCCAGAGGAAATGGGACTAAGAAAATCATGAGGAAGAGACAGTTCATTTGCAGTACCGTCCTGCATGTTTCGAAAAAGATTTGCATGTAGGTGGACCCATGCGGTTCAAACCCTTATTGGTCAAGGGTGGCCTGTATTCCCGTGCCCCTGGGTTCAGCCGGGGCAGCTCTCGGCAATCACCTGGAATTTCTCGTGGATGACGTGACCCATAAGCAGATGTGAAGTTCACATCATGCTCGGATTGTTCCCTGATACAGCAATCGGTTCAAGACAACCTCTTGTTTTCAGAACAGCTGTCCCCGAGTTGCTGGGAGATCTGGTGGCCCCATGGCATTGTCTCTGCGGTGACAGTACTACATTTGCTTTGTGTTACCACGAGTCAGGAAATTAGCATTGCACAGACTGAAGGCTCATGGTGGTGTAAGAGGTGCCGTGCCCCAGGGCCATTCTTTGGGCTCAGAGGTACAGCCCAAATCCCACGGCTTCAGAGGCCTGGGTAGAGGAGTAGACTGGCCCAGTCAGGGTAGCCTGGAACCTTGGGTTGTCCGCCCAGCGTATTCTCTGTAAGCTGAGGGGGCTGCAGGGACGCTGATACCCTGTGTCGAGGCCTTAACTCTCTAACGTCAGTTATACCGCGGAGCCCACCGTCCGGCTTCACCGAGCACTTCTCACCCAGGGTGATGTTGCCCCCCAAGATGGTGGGTATCCTTGCTAGAGAGAGGGGATGCTCCTCGCACTTCGAGGGTAGAGATCGGGGATGTTATTCGGAAGCCGCTGTGCACGGGGTGGCCCGCATTGCATCAGAGACTCACTGGCCCGGAAGGTCACTTGCTCTGAAGCTCGGTGACTGTGGACTAGGTGCCCATGAACACCCAAGTGAGCCCTCCTTACTCCCTTGCTTCCTTCCTGCCGTCCTGGCTGTGCAGGGGCCGAATGTGTGCGCTGACCCAGAGAACCCCGAGCCTGCGCGCCAGGTGTCTTCAGCTCCAGCTGTAGCGGGGGGCGGGGCTGTTGCCCGTGGGAGGGACTGTCCATAAGCGACGAATACAAGTTTGGGACTGGAGATCGCTTCTGCTGGTGATTTTTATTTTTATTAACTAATTAAGTTAATTTGTAAAAAAGATTTTATTTATTTATTTGAGAGAGAATGAGAGAGAGCACGAGAGGGGAGAAGGTCAGAGGAAGAAGCTGACTCCCCGAGAAGCTGGGAGCCCGATGCGGGACTCCAGGAGCATGACTTCAGTCGAAGGCAGTCACTTCACCAACTGGGCCAGCCAGGCGCCCTATTTATTAATTTTTTCACTGGTGATATTTAAAGGTACTCAGTGGGTCACGGGATCCTCCAGAGTATTAAAGCTCCAGGCTAAACGTGGAGTGCCGGGGCCAGTGCAGCCACTGATCCCTCGGCTGGGGGTTGGGCCTGTGAATGTGTGAATGTGTGTCCTGGACTCCACTTTGCAGAATGCCGAAGCCTATTTACATACTTGAATTTCCAGCGCCCGGCGCAACTACCACTGTGATCACCCGCGGCGTCTCAAGTGCGTCGCCATTTCTTTTTTCCTTTAAAAAAATAATCATCCAATGTCAGTTATCATTGGAATTTCCAGTTCTGGCAGGAAATTCTGCCCTTACCGCCCGCTCACACCTCACGCAGCCCCCATGAGGTTTTCCTGTGAAGATCTGGGTGCCGAAATTGGCTCCGAATGTTCTGCGAGAAAACAAAATCGCACTCTCGCTCTGCATATTTTAAACAAACACAGATGCTGATGCGTTACTGCTGGCAAGGGAGCCCAGTCTGCGGGGCTTTCATCTCCTCGGGCTCACGGCCAGGGCCGCCACGGCCTGAGCCAGCGTGCGTGTTTGATGTACTCCGTCACCATGTGCCTTCCCTGCTCGCGGCGAGAGCCCCGGCTTGTCCTGTGGACCTGCCTCGGCGGCAGGATTTCTTGGGGCCTGGGCCCCAAGGTCATGGCGAAACCACGCCAGGAACCACAGAAGGCTTTGTCCCCAGGAGGCTTGAGTCTCCGGAGCCTCCAGTGGCTAAGGCCGTATTGCATTTCGGTGGGATTCTCCCCACAGAGGCTCTCGAAGGCCAAAGCGGGCGCAGGGGAGGGGGAGGTCGAATCAGCTTTCCCCAGCCTGCTAGTTGGGCCCCCAGGACTTGGATGGGGTGGCCTTCTCAGAAGAGCCCAGCTGTTCTAACTGGATATGTTCATGGCCACGGACTGGCCATTTGTCATTCCCTCGATTCACTTGAACTGCAATCCAAAGGGGCCAGAAGGTCAGGCACTCGATTTACAGTAAGTCCCGTCCCACCACTACGATCTCTGCCGGCTTGGACGTTGTCCCCTCCCGGGTGGGTGTTCAGCCTTCACCTTTTGCAGTAATTGTTGTAGGCCAAGGCACAATTTATGCCCAAACCCGAGACCGCTCTGAGTTCCTGTTTCCCCAGAAGCATTGTGAGCAGCTCGACGTTCCGTGTTTCCAGTTACAGAGTTTGAAGAGGAGGTCGTCCACGCTGCCCCGGGGGGATGAAGGGCAACCAGACCAGGCTTCATAGATCCAGGAGGGGTGGTGTGTGTCTGTGTGAGTGTGTCTGTGTGAGTGTGTGTGTGTGAGAGAGAGATAGCAGAGTCCTCGTCCCTTTGCCAACACTAACAAGCCCTACTTTTTCAAAGTCACATTCGCTTCAGCACCATCTTATAGGGCGTCTCTCTGAGACCTGGTGAAGGCTCAAAAGTGTCCAAAAAATAATAAAGCCGAGAGCTCGTCATCTGCTAGGAGACATGGACATAACCCAGTTTGGGTGGCTTGACGCCAGTATTCTAGAGGACAGGGTCCTGAGCCAGGCTTTCAAGGAGAAAATGGCAAAGGACAAAAGAGCGGTGTCAATCGGGAGGCTGTTGGCTAGTTGGCGATCGCCAGCCGGAGATCCCCCCACCTTCCCCCCCACCTACCCCTTTCCCTCCCACTGCCCCCCCAAGCACCGCAGAGACCCGCCCCTTAGCTGCCCCGCCCCCCCACGCACCCTGCTGCTCACCCCACCTCCCATTTCTCCTCTGACCCCAGCTCCTAGTGGCGTATTACAGGCCCATGTTGGTCGCCTTTGTACTGTCCCTTTTTTTTTTTTTTTAATTTTAAATGCGATGGAAGAACTGTCGTGGACTGAATTGTATCCCCCCAGATTCATATGTTGAAGCCCCCCAGTCCACCGTGACTGGATTTGGAGATGGGGTCTTCAATGCGGTAATTAGAGTTAAATGAGGTCCTCAGGTTGGGGCCCTAATCTGATAAGACTGGTGTCCTTACAGGGACAGGAAGAGGCAGCAGGATGTGTGGGCCCGGGGAGAAGCCAAGTGAGGGCTGTGAGCCAAGGAGAGAGGCCTCTGGAGAAACCGAACCCCCCCAGCACCTTGATCTGGGCTTTCTGGTGTCCAGGATCGTGAGCGCAGTCACCACCCAGCCTGTGGGGCTTCGTTGCGGCCGCCTGAGCTGAGTCAGGACCCTGACTCCGTGTGGCCACTTTAGTAGAACAGCGTCTTGTTTGATGGGACATTGACAACCTTACTGCATTCTGATACCCTCTAGAAAAGTCCTTAAAGTAACATGTGAACACAGTTGAAGCCAAGTAGCTCTGAGCAGCTAGAACAGAGAGTGATGCCCGGTTCTACCCTTCCGCGCTGGCACCCCTCTCCTTTCAGGGGACTACTTTTCTCCCACAAGGGTTTGTTTTCTTTAATTAATAGACTATTTTTAGAGCAGTTTTGAGTTTATAGAAGAATTGAGCATGAAGTACAAGGTTCCCATATACCTTCTCCTGTCCCCTCAATTTCCCTTACTAGTATGTTGCATATGTTACATTTGTTGCCTTTGAGGAACTGATACTGGTACATTAACTCCCGTCGGTAGCTTACCTTAGGGTTCGCCCTTGGTGTGGTACATTCTGTGGGTTTTGATAAATGGAGAATGACCTGTATCCACAGAGTGGTTTCTCTGCCCTAAAAATCCTCTGGGCTCCACCTCTTCGTCCCTCCTTCCCTCCGCCAAAACCAGGCAACTACCGATCTCTTTACTGTCTTCATAGTTTTGCCTTTTCCAGAGTGTCCTAGAGTTGGATGTGGCCTTTTCAGACTGGCTTCTTTGGCTTAGTGACATGCATGTCAATTTCCTGCATGGCTTTTCATGACTTGACCGCACATTTCTTTATTAGCGCTGAATAATGTTCCATCACCCAGAGGGGCCACAGTTTAGGAATCCAGTCACTCACTGAAGGACATCTTGCGTGCCGCCAAGGTTTGGCAGCTCTGAGTGGAGCATACATCTTCTAAGAGTTAAGGAAGTTACTTTATGTCACCACTAAACTGTAATTATAGAGAATTAATAGTGACTCAGTATATCATTCAATATCCGATTCATATCAAATTTCAACCCAGAATTCTTTGAAGGTCCACACATTGCATTTGGTTGTTTTGCCCCTTTAGCCTTTCATCTAGAACACTTTCCTGTCTTTTTTGGTGTGTTATTTATGACACAGTTTTTGTTTTTGTTTTTGTTTGCGAAGAGTCCGGAATCAGTAGTCTCACATTGGGAATCTGTTTGATAGCTTCCCGGTGGTTTGATTTGGCTAAGTCGTTTCTGGTGATGTGCCAACATAAATGATGTCACAACATCAGCTTTTCCAGCTTTGTTGGTGATAAGCTCTGCCACTTAGATGAGGTGGTGGGGACCAGAGCCCTCTGCTGAGAAGGGACATTTTTCTCTCTATATGTAATCTGTGGAGGGATCCTGTGAGACCAGGCAAGTTTTTTGCTTTCCAGTAACCATTCGCCCAGCAGTTTTGGAACCCATGGATGATTACTGACTAAACTAATTATTACAAAAGGCGTTGCAAAATGTCCATTTGCTGATTCTGTCTCGCTTTGTACGTTTCCTTCCATTTCTTAGACCCTCACAGCAGAGTCATGATGCTTGCAGGATTTTGACATCCATGCTTTTCAAGTCCCCCTTTGCTATCTTCCCCTCTCCTGCAGACATTCCTGTGAGGGAGAGGGGAACAGGCAGTACCCGCTGTCTCCCCCGGGTCAGAGGTATGCAACTAACACCGGAAAACAATCGCCTTTTCAGGGTTGGTTAAGGGCTGTGTGGTCAGGGACAGTTCTGGCCTGACAGTTTCACTACCCAGCATGCATTTCACCAGCGGCAGCTGAGCCCAGTGCAGCCCCGGATGCTAGTGTTCCCTCTTCGTAGTCCCTTCTGTTGCATGGGAGATGAATTTGACCAATTTGGCCTTAATTAAATAAATCACAGAGTGTATTGCATTTGTGTTTTCTGATTTGGGGGTATCTCATTATTTTACACCGATACAGAGTAGAAATCTTTCATTTTATTAACTACACATTATTCCAGGGTCAGCCTGACCCTGTTTAGTTCTCCTTCTGTTTTTTTTGGGTGTGCGGGCTACCTGGCAGACCGATTTGGCCAGTGGAACTTTCTTTCTCTAAAGAAACTGTGCACATCCCCTTCCTTCAAACCTTTTACTTTACCGAGGGTGCATGGTTTGTCCCAGCAGGTGGTCATTTAAGTAGTTAATAAAATCAAGATTGAGGGGGCGCCTGGGTGGCTCAGTGGGTTAAGCCGCTGCCTTTGGCTCGGGTCATGATCTCAGGGTCCTGGGATCGAGTCCTGCATCGGGCTCTCTGCTCAGCAGGGAGCCTGCTTCCCTCTCTCTCTGCCTGCCTCTCTGTCTACTTGTGATCTCTCTCTGTCAAATAAATAAATAAATAAATCTAAAAAAAAAATCAAGATTGAGTAAGGGCTGTGGGGTGTGGTTGCGCAGGTGTGTCCTGTGCAGTCTGGGGCATGTGTTACATTGTCGTGTTTGCAAACGGCACTCCTTGGGGTTGTGCAGTGTGTAGTCTAGGGCCCTTACGCAAGGAGCCCTGTTAAGAGGCCTTGTTTTCGTAAGTTGAAAACAATGGAATTTTGGAAGAGGGGTCATTTCCATTTATGGCGAGAAATATGAATGTTAAACTTTACGCGTCCACTATGTTAGACTTAAAATAGGATCACTTGGATCCTTCTACTTGGAATTTCTGTGGCCCAGTTTTGACAAAGGCTTTCACAATTGATTTTTTCAATTGATTATAGTCCTGAAATTTAGGCGAGCGTATTAGTCACTGTAGGTTTCTTGCTGTAATTAACAAGCTTGCCATCTCAGTGGCCTAACACGGTAGTGATTCATTCCCCCCCACGTCACGTCCAATGTGGGTTTCAGCAGGTATGGGCTCTCTACCATAGAGTCATCCAAGGACCCAGGTCTTTGAATCTGGTGGCTGCTAAGTCAGTCCTCTGTGACCTCAGAGTCCTCCATTGGCTCCCCTGCCTGTGGCCACCAGTTGAGGAGAGGTGACCTGGGAAGGGCATCTCTCCTCTCCACCTACATGCCATTGGCCAGCGCTCAGTAACTTGTCCCCACCCGACTGCAGGGAAAGCTGGGAAATGTCTCTCTGTGCATCCAGGTGGAGAAGGCCCTGGGGTTTAGGGCAGGCAGGAGTCAATCTTGCAAAGCTGACCTCTTTTCTCTATTTTGTTTCTTCTCCAGGAGACTTCTTGGCATCATCACGAAAAAGGATGTCTTGAGACATATGGCCCAGATGGCAAACCAGGACCCTGAATCCATCATGTTTAATTAGAAACAAGGTGGCATTTATTTTGAGAAAAACACAACCGTGTCATTTTAAAAGAAATAAACAAATGATATGTTATTATCCTAACGAACGATTGTGCGCTGGGGGCAATGGAAACAAAAGCTTTGTTGGAAAGGAAGAAGGATGAAATCTTTCTTAAAAAACAAAAGAGAGAGACATCAACGAGTAGGCATTTCATAGCTTTAACCCCTTATGAGTTTCCAGCTGTGTTTCTTTTTTTTTTTTTTAATATTTTATTTTTTATTTATTTGACAGAGATCACAAGTAGGCAGAGAGGCAGGCAGAGAGAGAGAGAGGAGGAAGCAGGCTCCCTGCTGAGCAGAGAGCCCGATGCAGGGCTCCATCCCAGGACCCTGGGATCATGACCTGAGCCGAAGGCAGAGGCTTTAACCCACTGAGCCACCCAGGCGCCCCTACAGCTGTGTTTCTTAATGAGTTTATTAACCGCCGTCGGGGCATGGGGGTGGGTGTAAACAATATGGCTCGTACAAGGACACGGAACACAAATGCTGAGTCCAGAAATGTTTGCCCCTCGTTTTAAGGCTGATGTTTGTGAAGCTTTGAGTCCAAAAGGCAAAGGAGTAGTGGCCTGCCAGCCTCTGTTATTTCTTGGTTCCTGAAGTGTTGCTGCTATTTCGTTGAATCGGACTAGAGATATCTGCAGTCGCTTTGTTGGAAAAGACAAAAGAAATTAAATCGGCACACAGTGAAAGCTGAAAGTTTGCCAGTGGGTTCACTCCCGACCATCCCATTTCTTGCTCCCGTTCTCGGCCCACTGTTTCGCTTCTCCCATCACTTTCCGAACCAACATCCAGGGTCTCCTGCGATGATGAGTATGAAGAAATCCTTTCTCTGTGCAAGGCCAACACCTTGGGACTGCATGGTGAACTCCTGGCGTGTTTAGTGCTGCCTGTATTTCCTCCCACACAAAGGGGTTCATCCTGATTTTGAGGGTGTACACACCTGCTCGTCGTGTTGCAAATGTGTTGCATGTGCATTCCTAAATATTGAGCCATCCAGCACTTTCCATGGGCCATATCCTATGTGCTGCCAGCTTGTCGTAAGTGTGCTTTAATTTCTGAACAGCGTACGTGAGGGTCAAAACAGGCTGCCCCGTGTTACCACTTATTTTTCCTTTCAGATCCTATTAAATACGGCTGCAGAGAGGGTGAGGCATATAAAGTCTCAGTAGGAACTCCTCCAAATGGATTGCAAAAGAGATACTAAATTGATTCTAAATCTGTTCCATTATCTTCTCTGTAGGATGCAAAACGTCTGGCGTTAGTGTCTGAGTGTGCACTTTCATGCTTGTACGCGGAACACGGAAGGGCAGAGTTAAACCATCGACAGCCAGTTTGAGCACTGGGCTTCTATGTATTGAACTTAATGGTGCACTTGTGTCTTTAGTCAGGACTTCAGTCTTTTCTGGGAGAAGGCCTGGAGCTGTAATTTAAGTCCACGGTGTTCTCTGTGTGAGCCTGGCCGCTCCCACTTGCCCTCTCCCGTCCATCTTGGCTCTTCCCAGCCCCCTGAGCCGCCCTCACCCTGTGTGCCGCTGCTGGATACTGACGGGGCAGGTGTGCATTTGGCAGCTAGTAAGAGAAAATCCAACGGACAGTGGAGAGTTGAATGAGAAACCTGGGGGTCATGCACTGTCGACTCTCTCTGTATTATCATCAAGGATTCATGTCCTCTGGTATTGTTTCCTGCTGTCCTTTGTCCCCTGGCGTCCTTTGTCCCCTGGGGTCCTTTGTCCCCTGGCTTGCCGCCTCTGAGCCACAAGGTGGTTACTGAGCTGCCGGGTAAGATGTCTGCTTCCTAGACAGGAAAAGGGAGGAGGAGGCCTGAAACAAGGGGCAGCGCCCGTATCAGGAAAGCAAAATTCCCGGAGAGGCTCAGCTTACATCCATTGGCTAGAATTCTGTCACATGACTCCCCCCAGCTGCATGTGAGTGTGGGAAGGAAAGTTTGTAGCTAGACATATTATTCCCTGAATGAAATTTTGATTCTCTTAATAAGGAAGGGGATGGGTCCTGTGGAGGGAATGCTGTCCACTGGATCGGGCGCCATCATCGTGTCCAGGTTGCCGTCCTTCCTGTCCTCCTTACCCTTTTCCTTTTCTTTCTTTCTTTCTTTTTTTTTTTTAAAAGATTTTATTTATTTATTTGACAGACGGAGATCCCAAGTAGACAGAGAGGCAGGCAGAGAGAGGAGGAAGCAGGCTCCCCGCTGAGCAGAGAGCCCGATGCGGGGCTCGATCCCAGGACCCTGAGATCATGACCTGAACCGAAGGCAGAGGCTTTAACCCATTGAGCCACCCAGGCGCCCCTCCTTACCCTTTTCCTTGCCGAACACTCTAGACACTCTTTTCTCACCTTATAGTTTCCCACCCCTTCTGTCAGATTTGACATAGAACTACCAGTTAGAAGCCATCATTTCTTAGTCCTAATAAAAACCTAGAAACTTCTAGTTGGTGTAAGTAAATGTACTGTTGGGTTCTCTGGGTTATTAAAAAAGTTAAGTCCAACCATGCTGGCAAACTGGAAGATTTGTTTCTGTGATTGGCTGGTCTCCTCCAAACTAATACCAAATAGCCCCTTCAGTGTGGAAACACCAGTCAGTAGTAAAGTCAATCTTCGTGTCTCTTTCGCAGCCCGTGAGTATCGAGTAACAGATCCTAGTATTAGTGTTGTTGCTGGGGTTTCCATGGAACATACGCAAGTGAAGCTGGGTTCTTCTGGACTTTAAATCCTAAAAGGTCTTAAAGATGGCTTCGTGTTGTTCCCTCTTACTCCCACGTATTCTCCCAAAGAGTATCCATTAGTCATAGCCCGGATTTAGATAATCCAGTACGCCCTTTTAGCTGAAATAAAGCACTTCAGAAGGGAACACGAAACAGCGAACAGATAGCCAAAGGTCAGTGAAACCACAGAATTTCCTCCTCCTTCAGCCGAGGCCATGGAGGGATGAAGGGATAGTTTATTCCTGACCAAGGTCACCGAGGGATGTTATGCTGTGTCCTTCTCCCCCGTGCTTATTGGAGCGAGGTCCACAGTTCATGGGAAACCATTGGGAGTGCTACTTGACTCAGATAACCTTGTTTTCCTTCATAAGCCAAACCTCTCATTTGTGGTGGGGTTCGGGCTCTTGGCTCCAGAAGGCCAGGGTCAGACAGGTCGGTAAAGGTCAAGAATGGGGGAGTTGGCAGGGCGGCTCCCTGAGGGATTGCTTTCTTCCTCTGGAGCCCTAACTCCCCTTTGGGGTCCACTTGTGCGCCCCCCCCCCACCGCCTGGCCTGAGGTCTCAGACAAACTCGATGGGGGACTAGCTCCCGAGCTGTCACTCTTTCTTATAAAAGTTCACGGGTAGGGATTTTGAAGCTATTTGCTGTATCCAGATGTAGAACTTCCCCACTTTACCTAGTGACCTGACAAGCAAGAGGAGTACAACTGGGATGTGGAGGGAAAATAAACATTACTTAGAATAATGTGGTTTTATCTTTTTCCAGAACCAACACCTTTAGACTTTTGGAGAACTTTCTGAATTCTTTCTGAATCAGTGTTTTTATGTAAATAAGCATGAACGCAGAGTGGAAAAAGTTCTCCGATGAGACACATCAACTTATTTCTTGTTTCTTGCCCTCCCTCTCTGCTATGAAGGAAATGTGTTGTAGAAGGACAGACATCGAATAAAGGGTAGCCCGAAAGGGACTTGCGAATTTCTTGCATTTTTCAGCGCATCCCCTGGGACCGCAGATGTGCGCAGGGCATTAGTGGAAAGGGAAATGTGTTAGAAGCAAATCACTACCCAGTGTTTGCTGTTACAACCAGGCGATTCCCAGTTTCTCTATTTAGTCCTTCCCAAAAGACCTTAGAAAGGAGAAGACCTCTCAGGAGATCTGTTTTTGGCCCGAAGACGTCACAGAAACAGAAAAATTTGTTTCGCTTAGGTGAGAAATGGTTACTTGACACCATCAACACGTGCAAACCTGCTCAGTACTCTGCATCAGGTGCCGAGCTGGCAACGAGGACCGGAGGAGGGGCGCTATCGAGTTACATACCTGTAATAGTCTGCTTCATTCTGATTTCACGTGGGCAGCATTTTCTCACCACCGCTCCCCCCCCCCGCCGCCCAGCTCTGAGCCTTTGAAATGAGTTACATGGCGGGAGAGCACGTGTACCTAACTTTGCAACATTAACCAGACTCCATCTTCATGGGTGCAGTAATAACTATTTATTTGCCATCCTAGGTGTGCTGGGAATGAGCCTACGTGCGACTTTTATGACATCTGTTCGCATTCAGTGTGGGAACGACCACATAGCAACGTGGTGGTTTTTTTCTTTTTTTAATTGTAACCCTCTGTGTAAACGTTGGCACCTTATTAAAAAATTAAATGTTTGAACTTTACCTTTAAAAATAAAACAGGCCCCGTCCTCGAGAAGCATGTTGTAAATGGAAGAGATACTGATTTCACAGCACGTTTCTGCCCAGTGGAACCTCTGGAAACCTGATTCCGGGGACGGCTGAAGTTAAAGCCTGATTCATTAAGATTTTCCTGTAGGACGGTGATGTCCGTGTGATCAGCTTTAAAATCCCTTGGTCTTCGCCTGGAGGCTAACGGCCAAGTAACAATACAGACTGGAGCTATCACATGTCCAAGGATGGGACGAGACCGCTGTCCCCAGGCCATCTGTGTCTCCACCCTGTGCACAGAGGCTGGCAGGACAGCTTGGACCGTGGTCTAACACAAATTCTGTTGCCCTTTCAAACTTTTTATTACTTTGGGAATCACAAGAACTTAAACTATGTCTTCACCCACCAGTTGCCTTTTTTTTCAATTTTCAACTTGACAAAAATAGGAAGGAAAAAACAGAATGCCCACATCCCTTTGACGTAGAAGAGGCAGTGAGAGGGATCCTTTCTAATTCCGGAGGGGGCTGGGGAGCCAGGCTGGGGACAGCTTAGGGAAGATCATCCTCCGCAGGGGGGCCCAGCAGATGCAAATGTCCTGAGGTGGGAACAGGCCTAACTTCCTGGGGCCCCACAGGGTGGGGGTGGTGGTGA